TTTTCCTCAGTTAATGGCCCGAATATATCCTTTAGCCAGGAGGACTGCTGTGTTGGGAAACACACTTCCTTGATCTGCTGTCCCTACACATTCCTTTAACGTGTACCTGAACTCACTCCTGCTCCTTTCTTCTATGCTGACTCCACCGCTGAGTCCTTGTGTGTGCTCCAAGGTCTGGCCTTTGCTCTAATATTGGTCCCCTTTGCTTCTAGATTTTTCCACCATCCTTTTTCTGACATTTCCCGATAAACACATAAATGCTTGTTCTTCCCTTAAAAAAGAACAGCCCTAGCTGGGTGGTGGTGGTGGTGGTGGTGGCGGCGGTGGCGGCAGCGGCGGCGGCGGCGGCGGCGGCGCACGCCTTTAATCTCAGCACTTGGGAGGCAGAGGCAGGTGAATCTCCGTGAGTTCAAGGCCAGTCTGGGCTACAGAGCAAGTTCCAGGAAAAGCACCAAAGCTATACAGAGAAACCCTGTCTCAAAAAAAAAAAAAAAACATCAAAAAAGCCTAACCTCTTTGGTGGCACATACATCCAGCATTTAGGATTTGAAGTTCAAGGACAGCCTCAGCTACGTGGCAAGTTTTATGCTAGCCTGGGCTAAGCAAGACCCTGTCTTTGAAAAACAAAGAATGAATACAAGGCCTTCCTCAACCTTCAGACACCTCAAATCACCACTGTACTCTACTCACTTCTTTCCATGCAAATCATACACGGGATGGACTCAAGTCACCAGCTCTACTTCTCTGTCATTTATTTAGTATTTAGCTCATACCCATCAGACTTGGGATCTTCGTTCTCCAATACTATATTTAAAAACCTAAGCCCTTGCTTTTTGATAAGACCTGCATTTTTCTAGAGGATTTTAATTATGGTATACTTCTGGATTCAAGATGTCCCTTGAGCAGGCTCTTGTCACTTCCAGAACTACAACTTCATCTTGCTGCAGTACTGACTGTGGATGCAGTTAGGTACTCTGAACTATACCTTGGTGTTTTCACTTTTCACTAGGCAACTTCCCTGGTCTAATATGATCATGATTATATTATATCCATTCACTGTGGCTACTGGCTGAAATTTAAGCCACCAGTTCATTCATCTCATGGTCTTCCATCCCTATACTACTATAACATATCTCCTCTCTTATCCTCCCCTGTAATGAGTCTTTCTCCATAACACCAGCTCCCAAATAATGACATGAAGACTGATTATTAATTATGAAAGCTCAACCTATAGCTTAGGCTTCTTGCTAAGTAGCTCTTATAACATAAATTAACCCATTTATTTTAATCTACATTCTGTTGTGTGGCTTGTTACCTCATCTTTTTGTATTGCTCCTGCTGCAAATCTGGCTGTCAACTTTGCCTTCTTCTTCCCAGAGTTCTCTCTCTGCCCTGAAGTCCCACCCATACCCCCTGCCTAGCTATTGGCCGTTCAGCTTTTTAGTACACCAATCACAGCAATATATTTTCACACAGTGTACAAATATCCCATAACACTCCCCTTCCCATGCTTCTTTGCCTCCTTTCTGTACTTGTCTTAACTTTCTTGTTCTTTTTGGATACTTGGCTATTTCCTCTGGGCTGTTTCCTTTGCACCTTTTTCCTAAAAAAGATCTATTTGTCTTCCTATGGCTCAAAGCCTAGGAATGTAATAAGTATACAACTCACCCCTTATTGATGCTTTCAAATAGCTGCTGCCTTATAAACAAACAAACAAACAAACAAATGAACCAGTGACATCACCACTAACAATAACAAAAATATAGTTCCAGGGGCTGGGGAGATGAGTAAGATAGCAAAAGGCTTTGTCCTACAAGTGTAAGAACTATGTTCAATTCCCAGAACCACTTAAAAACAAAAACAAACAAACAGACACAGCGGCATATGCTTTTCATCCCAGTGCTGGTACATAGGTGCATCCCTAGGGCTTGCGGGGCCAGCTAGCCTACCTAGATTAATTTACTTAGTGATCTCCAAGACCAGTGAGAGACACTGCCTCAAAATATAAAGTGGATGGTGTTCCTGTGACACTTAACATATCCCAAGGTTGTCTTCTTGATCTCCACATGCATTTGATTTTACACACACACACACAAACACCACCACCACCACACCTCCTTAAAAGAACTTACCAAGTTTTTTTTATCATAGTTGTTTGTTGTATCTCTATACATATTATGTTCCAGTCTTCTAACTCTCACTCAAGATTTTAACATCTGGGTCATTAGCTTCATCTGCCCATTTTTGTCCACACATGGGAACTTCAATATAGCATTGTTAACTAAATTTCCATTGTTACTCCATTACTTGCCATGAACACTCTTGCTAATGTCATTTTCTTACAGACTTAATTTACTACTGATTATATGACCAATTGACGTCAACCTACACATCTCTTCTAAGCTGACCATATGTTCTAGGTATTTCTATGTGAGTATTTCATGGAACATCAACATTAACACTGGAACTCATGATCTTACCAACTTTATTATGTTCCTGTTATGAAATTTTTTGTTATATAGAATTAATGCCAACCCAGTCATGCAAACAAGGATTTGGGAGATTCTTCCAGATTCCCCTATATCTCTTGGTGGCCACATCCCCTCAGTAACATCTTCCTAACCTACACCTGTTGACCATGAGCACAGAGCTTCTCTGGTCTAGCTTCTGCAGAGAGTAAAACTGGTAGTAATAGGGAAAACATCCCTGGGTTTAAATCACAGATTCCAATCTATAGCAGGTAATTGTTGGCAAGTTTCTTAAGTTTTTTTTTTGTGCCTTGTTTTTCTCATCTCTCAAATGGTCATATACTATTGCTTACTTCATATAGTAACTAGGACAATCAATTGAGTCATGTTTGCTGGTTAGTTTTTGTCAACTTGACATCCAGTAAAGTTATATGTTAGGAAGGAACCTCAATTAAGGAATTGTCTCCATCATATTTTCTTGTAGGTGTCTGTGGGAACATTTTCTTGATTGCTGGTTGATGTAAGAGGGCCCAGCCCACTGGGGATGGTGCCATCCCTGGGCAGTTATATCAAAAGAGTAGCTGAGTAAGCTGAGGAACAAGTCGGCATTCCTCTCGTCTCTGCTTCAGTTCCTTCCTCCACTTCCCTTGATGATGGACTAGAAACTGTAAGCCAAGCAATATCTGCGAACCTGAGACCATTGTAAGTACTTTACAGCTTTTAGCCATATGAATGACATAAATAAGGATGCCAGCAGGGACAAACATCCTAGGAAAGAAATTTGAAGGATATTTACCTCTTTTGTTTTTTGAGACAGGGTCTCTCTATTATGCAACTCTGGCTGTCCTTGAACTCACTGTGTAGATTAGGCTGGCCATGACTCAAGGGGATCCACCTGGCTTTGACTCTGAAGTGCTGGGATTAAAGGTGCGCATCACCATGCCTGGCTTGGATATCTGCTTCTTAACTAGACCCTCAACTAGTCCTTTTTTATTCATCTGCATGCCACACCCTGACCTTAAAAGATTACCAGTGCTTCTAATTACTAGAATTTATAGGTTCTTGGGAGCAAATTAATTTGCTTCATATAGGCTTTCCTTTTGTAGCCAATTAACTTTTTGTGTTGTAAATATTCATTATCCAATTGGTAGGTGGCTAGTGGATCACTAAAATGTAACTGACTAGTGCTATACAATCTAAAATAATATTTTGGATATATCAGTTTAAATAAAACTTACTTAAATTGATTTCACACTTTTATTTTAACCCATTTAATACAGCTATTAGAAATTCTGAATTGTGTTTCTACAGGATGGTGTTGCTGTGTGCCTTACACAGTTTCGACCCTTCTCGTCTGCTATCCTGTTTTCTAGCATTCTGTTTAGTCTTGTAGGTTTATACCCTCTTTCATTTTGGGAGGTGTCTAGGGGAAAGTAAAGATAAATGCATGTGTTACACCCTCCATGTTTAACTGGGAGTTCTCCCTATACTTTCCAGGACCTAGTTCTGAGATCTACAGTCTCAGGACTTTATGACGAGTCACCAACTGCATGGCCAGCTAAAATAAATTACTGGTAGTTCTCTGAACACGGCAGGAAACTCAACTTTCTTTGCTTGATTTTCTTTGAATGCACCCCTGGCCCCTCTCACCTGTCTGCCTATTAAATAAAGACCTCAAACTACACCCCAGCAGAGCCTTTCCTGACTCCTCTTTGCAGCTGAGCTGACTACGGAGTCCAGAATTTTGTTTAGATATCCACTTGTTTCTCAATGGAATCCATTTGATTCATCACACCCTGTGATGCTAACTTCAGAGTTTGATGTGTACTTTAAAACTAAAAGAACATTTGTTAAAGAAGTAGAGACAGGTGGCATAGGGTCAAGGTTTTGTAGCATGGAAAGGCTGGCTGAAAAGCTTCATAAGAATAGTTGTTCTAAGCTGTTTCTTCAGATGAGTTTTTGACAGATGAAGATGACATCAGGGATTTTCCAGGTACAGCAAACAGAATGAGTAAAAGTCCCCTCGAAACAAGAAAATTAGTAGCGAATGAGTCATCCTGTTTCTAAAGAGCATTGGTAAGACTAGATCATGAGGCCCTTAAGGTCAGATAAAGAAATGTGATGTCATTCTGAAGGTCATGGTAGGTTCTGGAAGGCTTTGAGCTACGGGGATAACTCAGTAGTCTTGTGTTTTGGTTTTATCGCCTTTGGTTGCAGATGGAGTTGTGCAAGCGATGTGCATGAACTGAAGTTGGGAAAGTGAGTGCCTCCTGCAAATGAGGCAAGGGTTTAGAGGTGGGTGGTGAACAAGGATAGAGAGGAACGAAAACCCGCCAGATTTAGGCACTAGGATGCCCGTGCCTGGGTGACAGCTGGGCTCGGGCGAGCGGGAAGGTGGAAGCTTGCGGTTGACACACAACCGCATCGCCCTAGGGCACTCGGCGTAGCGGAGGGGGGGGGGGGAGACACGCGTCTTGTCCCTCGCGCGCCGCCGTCTGCGCAGCCCACGGGTCCGTTGTGAGCCGGCTTGCGCGCTGCGGTTCCGGTTCCGGTTTCAACTCCTGGGCCCCGCGGTACGCAGCTATGGCGTACTCCACCGTGCAGAGAGTGGCTCTGGCCTCCGGGCTCGTCCTAGCTGTATCGCTGCTGCTGCCCAAGGCCTTCTTGTCCCGCGGGAAGCGGCCGGAGCCGCCGCCGGGCCCCGAAGGTGAGCGCAGGCCATGCTCGCGGGCGGTCTTGGCCTCCACACCATTCCCCTCAATGGCTTGCATGTCATCTTGTCACCTGTGCCTGAACTTAAGAGTCAGTAGGTTTCCCCTTTCTACCATGAGTCTGTAGGAACCTTAGTTGGTAGTGGAGTTTCAGCTTGTTTTGGGGTGCTCACTGGTTCAGCCTTTTGTTGCCTCTTATAATACAGCTTGATCTGAGGTTGGTGCTGCACACCTGAAATGCTACCATTCCAGAGTCAGGAGGATCACTGTAAATTCAAGGCCAGTTGGCCTCCTTAATGAATTCCAGGCCAGCCAGCGCTACATAGTAAGACCCCGTCTCAAAACAACAAAATTTTGTTCAATAATTTAAACCATTTTTTCTTCTTGAGGCAGAGATAAGCAAGTTACTGTACTCCGCATACCGGTTAATTCTTGTTTTTTGGCATGAGTGTGATGTTTCAAAATCAGTGCCCTTGACTATTACAGTCTGGCAGTTTTACAGAATCTGTAAATGCATGGTCCTGAATGCTGGGAGAATAGACTGGAACAATTTGCTGTTGTTCTCAAAGTTCTGCTGGTAACTTTGTCTTGTGAATAATCCCTGTAACATCCTTGAGCCATGTGAACAGTCGGTGAACGTTTCCTCTGATTTCAGCCTGTTGGTTGCTGGACAGCTCCCTTTGAACTGTAATCCTCTTTGAATTTGTGCATATTGGCTGTCCTTCCATTCTCTGGAGCATTAGAGATTAAAAATACTATAAATGCAAAGCGCCATGCTCTAGGGGCTAAAGGCAGGTTGAGCACATTATTCTGCCTGCAGAATGTGTTTGATGAGCTTTCCTTGAAAAATTGCCATCCCCCCCTTTTCTGTCATAACAGAATTCAAAAAGTCTTGCTCATTTTTCTTTCCTGTCATTGTTTTTTGTCTTGAAGAGTGATGATCTTCAAGGCCATCTTCAAAATCTGTGATGATCCTGAACAGTAAAGAGTAAAACCCCCTTCCCCCTGGTTCAAATAGCTTAAAGAAGTACTATTGAGTGTGAGTGGAAGACACTTCTGCTTCTCAGTGTTGTAGATGGTATAGAGTTCATTGTAGATGTGACTTCCTTCCCTTGAGAATCCAGGCACTTATGGTCAGTGTTCCCATCTTGAGGGTTTTGCCCTTTATATTTTTTTCATTCCTGAGATGCTCATCTCTTGCTTCCTTCTCATCAAGTTTCTGCTCAGATGCATCCTCTTTAGATTTTGCCGGATGACCCCAGTTAAAGTAAAGCTCCCCTCAGGACCACTTTAAAGGTGGTCTTGACCAACAGTTATGGTATATCCTATCATATGTCATGCACACAGTGTGCAGACACTCACTGAATTCCAAGGAACAGGAATTAGGTCCCCACCTCAGACAACTCCTGGTTTAGTAGGTCTAGTAGAGGAAAACAGATGAGTACCAATGTATCAGTTGCTGGTATTCATCTGGTCTACACTGGGAACAGTGGAGATGAACATATGCAACAATTTGTTTTTGGAACTTAACAAAGGCTTTATAGTTTTTTCTTTCTTTTCCACCCCAAGATCTAGTACATGTACCATGCAATTTGTCTGTTTGAGCACATAAGTCGATTTCTTTTGCATATTCACAGTTGTGTAGACATCACCCCATTAAATTTTTCATCACCAACCCCCAAGGTAATCTGTACATTTTAGCTGTTATCACCCTCCACATTTCCCCATCTGTAGTCAAGGGCAGCTAGGCATCTTTTTCTGCCTCTGTAGAATTACCTATGCTCTTCCTAACTGGCTTTTTGTTTTGTTTTGGTTTTTTGAGACAGAGTTTCTCTGTGTAGCCTTGGCTGTCCTGGAACTCATGCTGTAGATTAGATTGGCCTCAAATTCACAGAGCTCTGCCTACCTCTGCCTCTGAGTGTTGGGATTAAAGGTGTGCGCCACCTCTGCTTGGCCTGACTGACTTTTTAAAGCTAGCATAATGTCTCAAGGTTCATTTATCTTCTAGCATATGCTTCATCCCTTTTAATGGCTGAATACTAGTCCATTGTGTTGATAGGTCACATTTTACTGATCTCTTTGTTAGTTGAGGATTTTTTTTTTTTTTTTTTTTTTTTTTTTTTTTGCCTTTCAGCACTTAGGAATAATGCTACCATTTGTTTAAAGATTTCTGTGTGGACTTACATTTGTGATTGGAACTCAGAGTGTGATTTTCTAGTTGTATAGTTATATTTTACTTTTTGAGATACTGCCAGATAGTTAACAAACCAACTTTACCGCTTTAAAGGCCTATTAGCAGTATGTGATGGTTCTGATTTCTCTGCATCTTGCAAAATGTAGGGACAAAGTTGAAATGACTCCAGCCATCTTGGGTCATAACCACCATGATTGCCCTTGAGTAATCCTAGTTAACTTCTGACATAGTTTGTAGACAAAACCTTTAGAGTGGTGTTTGGGACTGTATGAGCAGAGCCCAGTGCTGTTGAGAATGTGTCTGACATCTTTGACATTAGCTTGAGATAAACACGGTGTGTTCCTGGGTTTGGAGAAACCATTCTGTCCTGATGGTGCCAAAAGCATCCTTCTTCTGACCCAGATAATGGAAAGTCACCAGACTTCTTGCTGTTTTGACCACCATACATCTGTCAGTTAGTCCCAAATAAATGACATTGAAGTCCTGGGTCTGTCTACCTTGCACCTTGCAGCTGGTGTAGCATTCATTGCATGCCCTTCTGATTACAGCTGTCCTAATGAGTCAGAAGTGTCATCTCCTGTGGTTGTATTAGTACTCTCTGGTGACTGATGGCATTGAGGAACATTTTTGGAGGGGGATGTGTGTGTATTTGCTTTTTGTATATCTTCTGTAGAGAAATATCTATTCAAGTCTTTTAAGAATTGGGGAGCTCGTCATTTTGTTGTTGAGTTGTGTTACTAGATACTCCATTTACTAGTCAAATATCTTCTCCCAATCAGTGTGTTGTGCTCACTTTATTCAAAAAAGAAAAGTTTTAATTTTGATGAATTTCAGGGTTTTTTTCTTTTGTTACTTTTAGTGTCAGATATGTCTAAGACAAATCATTGTCTTATCTGATGATTTATTCCTATGCTTGCCAGTTCTATTGTTTATGCTGCTGCATTTACATCTTTGGGCCTTTGAAGTTATTTTTTGGCATATGATAGGAGGCAAGAGTCCAATTCTATATGGGGGTGTATAGTTGTTCCAGCACCATTTATTGAAAAGACTGCTCTTTCTCATTGAATTGTTTTTGGCACCCTTGTAAAACTCACCCAGCTATAACATGAGTTCATGCCTACATTTTCATTCTGTTCCAATAGTCTACCCATTGCCCCCCCCCCACCTTTTTTTTTCCCCAGAGCTGAGGACCAAACCCAGGGCCTTGCACTTGCTAGGCAAGCGCTCTACTACTAAACTAAATCCCAAACCCCCACATTGCCCTTTTGAAACTATAAAATTGCAGTCCTGTAGGTTTTTCTTTTGCAAGATGGTATAGGATTTTATGGGTCTTGTGACCAGCATTTTAGTATTAATTTAATAACCATTTCATTGATTCCTGAAAGAAAACAATAACAATAACAAAGAGCCAGATTTCACTAGATTGTGTTGAATCAGTTTTGAGAATATTGCTGTCTTACTGATGTTAAGCTTTCAATCTATGAACACAGGATTTCTATTTATCTAGATATTTTTCTTTCAAAGAACTTTCAGTTTTCAGTATTTAACACTTGTTTTGTTAAATATACCCCTCCAGGGCCGGAGAGATGGTTCAGTGGTTAAGAGCACTGGCTGCTCTTCCAGAGGTCCTGAGTTCAATTCCCAGCAACCACATAGTGGCTCACAACAATCTCTAGTGTGATCCGATGCCTTCTTCTGGCATAAAGGCATATATACAGATAGGGCACTCATACATAAAATAAAAATTTGTTTGAAAAAAAAATATATATACCCCTCCCTAACTATTTTCTTTTTGATTCTATATTGTGAATATTTTGAGATTGTTCCTTGTTAGACCATAGACACATGATGCTTATGTGTTGAGCCTGTGCTTTGCCACTTGCTGAACTTGTTTATTAGGTTTTTTGTTTGTTTGTTTGTTTTTTAAGAAATGTGAAACTTTTTTTTTAAAGATTTATTTATTATGTATAGTGTTCTGCCTGCATGTATCCCTGCAGGCCAGAAGAGGGCATCAGATCCCATTATAGATGATTGTGAGCCACCATGTGGTTGATGGGAAGTGAACTAAGGACCTCTGGAAAAGCAGTCAGTGCTCTTAACCACTGAGCCATTTCTCCATCCACATATTATTATTTTTTTAAACATAATCATGTTGTTTTCAAATGAGAGGGTTTTACTTTCATTCTAATCTACATCCCTTTTGCTTCTTTTTTCGTGCTTAACTAGACTAGCTGGAGTCTAGTACTGTGTAGAATAGAAGTGATAAAAGCCAATATCCTATCTCAAGAAGAAATTTCTTGTATTGTTAAATATAGTGTGGGTAGGGGTGACTTAGTTGTCCTTTATCAGACTGAGGAAATTTCCTTTGTGTATAGTTCGTTGAATGTTTTTGATCATGGGTTGAATATTGAATTTTATCAAATGCTTTTACACTGTCAAGGTGATTGTGTGGTTTGCTTTTAATTCCATTGAAATGGTATTTACATTAATTGACTTTTAGCTATTAAACCAACCTTGCATTCTTTGGCTAAAAATGAAGAGGCAACTCTAAAAAGTGTGTGTGTGTGTGTGTGTGTGTGTGTGTGTGTGTGTGTGTGTGTGTGTGTGTTTCTTTTTCCATTTTTTTTAAAACTGTTGAGAACTAGGACCTGACCTAAGGTTCCCTGAGGCCCTGATGCATGGAGAAGAACTATAGCTCCTTTTCTAAACCAGGAATATACTTGGTAGAGTCAGTAATAGCATGGGGCAGGGCCGTGGGGGAGCTATGGTTTAGGATCCCAAGAACCCAACTTGTCTACCCTA